AAAGAATTAAATGTTTAACTTTTTTAACAGAGCATCCTTTTAAAGAAACAAATCTTGATTTTAATCTTCCAAAAGCATTTTCTACTACAACCCTATGTTTTAAATGTATTAAATTAAATTTTTTTTATTGTTGATTTAATGATAAACGAAAAGGTGTTATTAAAAATAGTGAAATTGGATATACAGAATCTTTAAGTAAATAATCATTATTGATAATTAATTCATTTTTTTTTATAAAAACTTGAATTTTTATAAACGTTTGCATCATGTACTGAACCTGGCCAACCTATATCATAACTAATAAAAATTCCATGAAAATCTACTATTCCTTAACATTGAATTGAGTAACATTTTTTTCGATTAAAATATAATTCCAGAGAATTAGAAGGTTTATCGTTTAAAATTAAATGAGTTCCATCAATAGCACCAATTATATTTGTAAATCCACCAATTAATTGAAATTCTTTATAAACCAATTTTCGCTACTCTCCTTTTGGCCATTGAACAAATAATGATTTTTTTGAAATTATTACTTTAATTACTCTTTTTATATATAAAATTACAGTTCTTTCTGCAATACCAAATTGTGAACATATTTCAAAAATATTACTTTTACCTCCAATTTTGTGTAAAAAAACTGCTAATTGTAATTTTACTGGTGCTTGTTTTTTTTGTCCTTTAGTTTGAAAATTTTCATGATCAGAAATTAAATTAACTAAAGTTTTAAAATGTTCAAATGGCATTCGTAATATTTTTTTAAAACGGTTATCATCATAAGTTGGTAAAACTTCATAATACCAGTGAGAAGACTTTGGAATATTATATAAACGGGTATTAGAATATCTTGTTTCTGAAAGTAAAAGTAAATTAAAGGTAATTAAATCATTAACTTCAGTTTCTTCTTCAAAATCACTGTTTTTTTCAGAATCACTTTCACTTTCATAAAGAAATTCTTGAATAGTTGTTAAAAGGAGCGCATTTTCTATTTCTTGTTTTTTAGACATTTTAGAATATGTCGTACCATTAATCTATGCATCAACTCTGTTCAATTTTGTACATCAAAATTATGAATTGTGATTGGTTAATCACAATATGCATCAAAAAATGCATCAATCAGAATTGAACAGGCCTATTATTTGATTTTTGTGCATGATGCGTGTAATTACATGTGTAATCGTTGAATAATAATAATAATTAAAAATTTAAGAAATTAAAACTTAAAATTCATATTAAAGAAATTGTTTATTTCTTTGCTTTTTTTATATATTAAATTTAAATATTTTATGAATCAAGGTTGAATTAAATTAGAGGTAATTTATCTTACTATTGAAAAATAATTAATTATTAAATTTTTTAATGTAAAATAAAAATTAAATTTCGTTAAGTAAAATATTTTAATTTGTTAAAAAATTACATTAAAATAATAAAAAAAATTTATTTTAAATTTAATAAAATAATTTAAAATTCTATAAAAAAATAAAAAAAAATATATTTAAAAATAAATAAAAAACGAATTAGTTTTTTTTCTTTTTAGAAATCTATTTAATCCAAGATTTATCATTTACATTTATTCAGTGTGAGATATCTCAATGTAAGTGAAATTCACCTTGAATTAAAAAAAATGATTCGATATTGATAATAGAGGTTGGAACCGGGCTAAAAATACTGGTTTGGATAATTAATCGGTTGATAAAAACTCAAGAATTGCGATTGGATGGCCACGCCATTTAGATGATGCTGTAATCACAAAGTCACTATAGCGGCGAGATTTCCTTTGCGATGTGGTATTGATGAAATCCAATTTGCGAAAATGCCAGAAAGCTGCGGTTGATATTTCTCTTTCGAGGAACAATTGATTAAAAGAATCCCTAACAAAGCAGTGATTTATTCAAATCATTTTAAAATTATCCCAACTTTATTCCAATATACTGTACCAGAGCGTGCCCCAACGATGTCCAATAATAATCATCATAATAGACACCTGTGATTTTTATGCGAATGCAAGACTGCCTACTTGAAATTTTACCTTTTAAATAGCATCTATTAAAAGCACTAAGCAAGTCTATACAGTATCTTTTTTCAGATCATTTTGATATTTCGTTTGATAGAAGATATCAGGTAAATCTTAAAGATAAAGATGTGAGGTCTTTTTTAAGTTCTCATTTTGATTGTCTATTATAAAACCCATTCTAGTGAGATTATGGGCCCTGGTTTAAATCCTGTTAAGATTTGTCAGAAATTGTAATCGCAGAGGTCTTGATTTCTCCTTGAGATCATCATCTCGAAAAATATTATAGTCATAGATTTTTTTATTCTGTAACGTAGCGACAGTAGTTTAATGCGACGGCAATCGCGCTTCCAGTCTTTATATATATGGGAGGTGTGGATAAATATTTGAAGATTTTTTTCTAGAAACGCGTTGTGCTTTGTGTCAAAATCTTCCTTCAATCACGTATGAAATCGCTTGAAAATGTTTAATTCTGACTATTTGAAAGTAATGCTAGAGGTTAAAAAAATTTAATAGACAATTGTTTGGTTAGGATGTTAGAAAATCATATTTCTAGACGCAACTAAAGTCATGATTATACATGGTTGCTTACCTTCGGAGCCAAAACTCGCCTTATAATGTAAGATTCTTATCACCAGAACTGCTGGTTTCCGTCAGGTTCGTATAACTCCATAAGTTGTTCAGCTTTTGATACTAGAATATATGGTTCTATTCAGAAATTTTATCCTGTATAATAAGGTTTTTCACTACACGCGCTTTCATTTTTATGGGCTTTTTTTTTCTCTCAGATATAACCATTTATTCCTCCGGAATACCTTCTCAACAACAAAAGATAAGACGCTTGAATTGAGGACTACCGATTAGAAAAATTCAATAATGATTCTGAGTTAAGATGTGGTCAAATAGTTTTCCTCAATATAAAAAATAACTTTTCGTTCCAAAAGTGTTTCTGCTACTGATGCGCTCATTTTTTTAAATCCATCACATGAAACTACGATATCGCAATTAAAATCCAAGGATTTACGCCTTGATACGACTAAAAGTCGAAGGGTTGGTTATTTGTAATTTTACAAGTCGAATATCGTTCACATAACTTTACCATTTGAAAGCTGGAAAAAAAATAAAAGGAGAATTTTTGTATATAAAAGTAAGCTATACAGGTTATTTGTCAATTTATTATTAAATCGACTTTAAAATGTAAAGTCCTGATGGTCACACATTGGCTAAAAAAAATAATTTTAGTCATCAGATGATATGTCTCATTGTTGATTTCCATTTTTGTTCATTTTAGTCTCTGGTAAACTAAAATTTATTAGTAATTTTCATCCTCGACACATTTAAACTTTTGAAACCCAGAAGCTTCAAATGGGCGAATAAATAAATATGACCTTAGAGCCGAGCTAAAAGCGTTCCCAAAGAAGTATTTCTTTTAAATCTCGTATTATTAAGTGCAATCTTCTTTTTCATATCAATATGTGGGTCCTACTCGAAGGTGATCAAAGTCCCTTTGAAATTGACGTTGACCAAAGTTGTTATACTTCTGAAAAGTTCAGCTTGGTCCGTCTTAAACCAATTCTCAAAGACTGTTTCTCCGAGCTTAAAGATATTAGGCCAACAAGAATCGAATTTTTCAATTGCGATGATCGAACCACACCTCTTGATAATGGAGTGATACTCACGGAGGATACCACAACAAGTAAAAACCCACTCGTCATCCGTTACCCATTGTCAAATTCGAG